AAAACAGTTTATTTGTTTTGGATTGTGATATTTTTAATTATAAAAACTAATAAAAAACAATAAAGCTATTTTTTCTTTTTCTTTTTATTGGGCTTGCTTTTTTTTGTTCTTTCTTTCTTTGTTAATTTAGCTTATCATTTTATTTTAAACTTTTGCTTTTATTATTAATTAATCTTATTATTTCATATTTTTTCTTCATTTTTTCCTTCTAATTAACTATTTAATGATATATTTTTTATTCAATATTTAAAAAGTTCTAATAAAATTGGTGATGAAGGTGCATCAGGCTTAGGTTCTGGTTTAGCAAATTGCATTAATCTCTCAAATTTGACACTTCGCCTTGAGTAAAAACAGTTTATTTGTTTTGGATTGTGATATTTTTAATTATAAAAACTAATTAAAAAAAATAAAGCTCTTTTTTTTTTTTCTTTTTATTGTGCATGCTTTTTTTTGTTCTTTCTTTGTTAATTTAGCTCATCATTTTATTTTCAACTTTTGCTTTTATTATTAATTAATCTTATTATTTCATATTTTTTACTCATTTTTTCCTTCTAATTAACTATTTAATGATATATTTTTTCTTCAATATTTAAAAAGTTACAATTAAATTGGTGCAATGGGTGCATCAGGCTTAGGTTCTGCTTTAGCAAATTGCATTAATCTCTTAAATTTGACACTTATCCTTAGGTAAAAACAGTTTCTTTGTTTTTCATTGTGATATTTTTAATTATAAAAACTAATTAAAAACAATAAAGCTCTTTTTTCTTTTTATTGTGCTTGCTTTTTTTGTTCTTTCTTTCTTTGTTAATTTAGCTCATTATTTTATTTTCAACTTTTGCTTTTATTATTAATTAATCTTATTATTTCATATTTTTTCTTCATTTTTTCCTTTTAATTAACTATTTAATGATGTATTTTTTCTTCAATATTTAAAAAGTTCTAATTAAATTGGTGATGAAGGTGCATCAGGCTTAGGTTCTGGTTTAGCAAATTGCATTAATCTCTCAAATTTGAAACTTTACCTTTAGTAAAAATAGTTTATTTGTTTTGGATTGTGATATTTTAAACTATTAAATTGAATATAAAACAAATAAGATCTTTGAATTTATTTAATAGCTTTTATTTATTTTAATTTTTTATCTTTTTTATTCCACTAATATTATTTTATTTATTAATTTAAAGAATAATTTTTATTTAAAAGTTTATTCTATTTTAATATTTATTTAAAATTTAGACAAATTTATTTTAATATTTTTAGGTCAATGAATAAATCATAAGAATTCAAAGTAATAAGCAAGTGCCGTAAATCAAAA